AAAAAAAGGTATCAGTCCAGGCATATTTTTGACATAATACTGTAGCACTATAGTAGGCTAATCATGGAAGTACCGTGGAATATAAAGACAGATGCATGAATTTCACTACCATGGTATAGAGCAAAGTAACATGGGATTACCACAGTACTTTTTTCCAAGGTGCATAGCCTATACAAAATACTGTGGCGGTTTATGGTACTTTTAGTACCTTTTTTTGGCTCGTGAAAGGACAGATGTGGGTCATCAAGTCCATTTCCAGTGAATGTGGAGCCCCATCCCATTGAATGACTTTGCATTTGCTTATATTTAAGTAATAGCTTGTCTACAGTACATTCTTTGAATTATACAAGACAAAACAAAAAAGCACGGAGACATTTTATTTTTAAACCACTACACGCATAGAAAACGCAAGTTATTCGATTTTCCTCTCTCTGTTCAGAAGAACAAAACCCCACTGAGAAAAAAAGCACGCCTTAATAAACCTTCAAGATAAAAAGAACAGTTACAATGTCCCATACAACCAATATGATGCAAAAAAAGTGACACAAAAACGAGCGGTCTAAAAGAAAAGCACCCGGTTTATTTTCTATTTGTATTTTTATTAATTTTCAGTGAGGGAAAATAAAGGCTCACTCACTGACTCTTTTAGCTTTGCTGCGTTAGCAGTAGTGCTAGTCACAACACACAACAACCCCGCTACGATTTCACAACAAAAACAAACAAAACGCGATTCAAACTGCTTTTTAACAGAGAATCGCTTAAGCGATGCTTAACAGACACTTTTGATTTCTTTCAACGGTCAGGTTAAAAACGAAAACGGACAAATTTATGACAAAAGCAGGTGTTAGCTGAGCAAACCCCCTTTCTTTCTCTTTCTCATCTACGTCAATTACATTAAAATAAACCGTATTAATCTTGAACAAACCAGGCGTAACGTGTGATTTTTTTTGGCGGACCCACAGTAAAAATCTACGTTACCGGTTTTGGTTTTAACAAAGAGCAGCGGTGAAAACACGACCGCGTACAGGGAAAACATTAGACTTTAATTCAGCAGATATACTTCCATCTTGTTCGACTGGTAAACTAGCATTGGTTTGACCAGGAATCGGTGCGTTAAGAGAATATAAATCGACTTTTCTAGCTTGAAATGGTGTAAATAAGTGCGTAAGATTTTCAAATCCATTTAACTGTTACACACACACACACACACACTCAAGTGTGAATGCTTTGATATGCCCCATATGCATATGAACAGCACAGCACTTCCTAATACACACAATGCGTTGTGAGAGAGAAGGAAACACATGCACTTGCTGCAATGCTCTTTACCTTTAGTTTCTGAAAGTGCTGCTGCTGGACTTGCTTCTGAACCACATAGGCCTTGTCTTGGATCTGGTTGATTTGCTTCGCAGTGCTGCTGTGAGCCTGAATTTTCGCCATGGTGCGTTTCCTTCGCCACCAACAGCCACGATGATTTACCGTCCCTCCGTATTTGCAGGTTGTTCTGGCGTGCAAAAATCAGTTCGGTACTGGGGGCCACCCAGCTCTCTTCCCCCCACAAGTCCAGTCTACTTTACGGACGGCCACCCAGTTACTCCAGTATATAGACTTCCAGCTCAAGCCCGCAAGTGTGTCGAGACCTCTCAATCCCAACTAAAACTACACCATCAGGCGGAAGAATCAATAACGAGTCCCCATCGAAATCCACGAAGAGAACGATAAACAATGTATGTTTTTTCCCCCCCTCCAATGATCGTATTATTTAAATAAATTGTGTATGTCTCTTTAAATTCGGCGGCAGCTGTGCGCTCGATCCTAGCGTCCGGAAACGGAGGGAGTTGTGGAGAATTGAACAGCGCATGCGCACAAACCGAAAGAGGGCGGAGCGCACGGAATCTCAGCGGCCGCATGCATGAATGGGATTCTGCACACGTTTTTGTTCATCGGGCGAGTGTTGCAAAAAGTTGTTTAGCTTCGATTTAAAATGCTTTTGACTGATTGATTGCTTTGATCAGTAATTTTGATAAAACTATAGGCTCTGTAACATGATAAAATATATTGTTTACAGAAATTAATTTAAATTTTAAATAAACTTTAGTTGTAAATGAAAAAATATGTCCCATTTTTTCAGAAGAGAAATAAACATTTTAGTTATTATTTATTATTATATATTCGTGTATGAAGAATACATTCTACACTACTCGTCTTCATTATTGCAGCAGGGAAAGGTTAATATGTCTAAAGGAGAAAAAACTTCCAACTATTGTATTCAAATTTAAATCTTGCTTTAGTGAAACAATTCGGGTGTCATTGAAAAAAATGTATGTTGCCACCTTTTCAAATATTTTATTCAGGACCATAAAAATATAGCTATACTGAATGTATCAATTCCTCGAGTCAGTCTCTTGTTTGAGAATAAATAAGGCGGACACAAAATGAAGGTTTTAAAAATAAGCGTGGTTTATAAAACCCAAATATGACAGGATCACCAAAGTGTATACAGAAACACAAATGAGATCATCAGTGGAACCATAGGAATACACTCAACATTTACAAACTACTCTGTAAAAGGGGAAACTCTGAGACATTTTCATTTTCATGTGTCTATTTAATCACAGAACCACAAGTTTTTCTATTTTTCTTTAAGTCTTAACTTACTCAAAAGTACAACCATCTACCAACTACAAACAATGTCACAGTCAAGTATTTAAGAAGGGATACAACATCAAGATAGGAAGATAGAAAAGATGCAGAGATATCAAGCACTTAACATCATGGGTGTAAGCAAGCAATCAAGTCAACATAGTTTATTTCCCCCCATGAAGAAATGATGTCAGGGCTTGTGTATTATTCTAGTTCTGTATTTGAAAAATTACAAAAGAAAAAAAAATTACAAAAGAAAAACCCTACATTTTGAGGGTTCATCTCATAATAGAACCCCTAGTTAGGGTGTTAAGGAGAATGTTAACATGTCCCTTTCTTCTCCCAATCCTCCCAGCAATTCCTTATCAGAGTTCACAATACCACTGTCACCCAACAAGTCCTGTCAAATGGGCACAAACCCTGGGGATGAAAGTGTTACGAGTAGAAATATACAGATAAAACCGATCACATTCCATATTCACTAAAGCATCTTAAGTTACACTATTTTTCGATAGAATTCACATATGTAAGACAGTGTGGGATTGTGGCTAATCAAAAATGCCCTTCATCTACCATAATACTGCTCATTTAAAGAAAAAGTCTCTAACGTGTACATAAATAATTAGTACAATAAATAAACAACATTCTTTTACACATTTCAAATGTAAAAAAAATAAACTATTTACAGTGCAAAACAAAAGCAGCATGCAGGCAAGACAATTGGCAATGCATTACAAAAAGCACTGAATGGGGAAATTTGTGCTCAGCATCCATTTATATACGGCGATATTGGTTCAGAAATGTGAAAAAAAAATTTGTGTGCCACTCGGTAGTCCACTTAATTAAGGATTCAGTCAGTTCTGAGAGAACTAAAGACAGAGCAAAGTAAGACAGTGTGCCAAAAGGTCATTTTGAGAACGACAAGATTGACATTTCATTTTTTCAATATTATAGGACAAAAGGACTGCACAGTAACACCACATTTTCGAACGAGGATAGCACTCTATATTCTTTTGCAGCCACAAATCACATGTAGTTTTTCCCCTTCTTCTTTGATAGATTTGAATCTTTAAATTTAGCCTCAAATGTGTTCAAACAAAACAATAAACTTAAAGTCAACTAATATATGTTACTCACAAACACAATGCCTGCTATCTGTACATCATTTTTTTTTTCAGAGAGCAGGAACCCTTTTCTTTTAAAGAGCAAATAAAAATATGAAACAGCAAGTAAGAGCGATTGTGAAGACAAATCTTTCTTTTGATTAGATTTTAGTTACAGCTGAAAGATTGTGCTTGCAAAAATACATCAAAGCAAAGCATGCTGCTGAGAAAACTATCAAAATGAACTAAATGCTGAAAAAAAGAGCAAAACATACATATCAGCTAAAAACAGCCCTGGTGTTTTCGTTTTTATGATGACAACAATAGATATTAATCATAATAAAAGTCATTCTAAGTTAAAATGACAGTATTCGCTATAAAAGAGGTGAAAAACACTCTCTTCTTTTAAATATGCTGTCTGAAATTCAGAGACCACATATGAAAATGTATGAAAGGCAAGGTAGTTACACCTGTCTCGCAAACATGTACATTATAAATCATGTACAATCACATTTTTTCATCAAAATGTAAAGATGATTATAAAGATGTTGCCACACTCATGAAGCATACAAATAAACAAACTGTGACCATAGTTAAAGGGATCGTTCACTCAAAAATAAAAAGTAAAAATCTAACCAAACAGTACTCACATTCTTCAAACTATCTTTGTGTTCAGCAGAAGAAAGAAATTCATACAGGTTTGGAACAACTTGAGGGTGAGTAAATGATGACAGAATTGTTATTTTTGGGTGAACTATCCCTTTAAGACGAAAGGATTTCATAAAAGATATCTCCTCGACGCAAGTGAACTACTTTTTGATGCACAAAATCTCTTACGGTTTACCATAATACAAAACTGATATCACAACCATAAGAAATATAATTGACTGGCAGTGGTTGCATTTCCTCTTTGGCTTGCAGTGGTTATGGCAATTGTTAATAAGTGATACAAAAAGCCATGTAGGAAACACATTAGTTCTGTGTCCACTTCCCTTTAGTCTGCAATTCGGTGACAATTATTACTGAATCTTTTCAGTTTAGTGCATCATTACAATTTAAATAGTTCACAGAATCATCTGATCTTTTTCAGTGGGCAGCATTTCATTTACCCAAATGGCATTTCAAATATTAACCAGCAATGACAGGTTTTCTTACAGTAGTTTCACTGGTTAAAGTGTGAATATAAATAATAATTCTAACAGCATAGAAATAATAATTCTATCACTCCCTAAAAGAAAACACACACATGCACACATTCTCTCAAACACAAACCATACATGGCAAAAATATGACAGCTTTGATATCAAAGCAATCCATGTTAAAAAATGAAAAAATAAAATATATTTGCGTATTAAATATGATGAAACAATAAAACACTATGTTTTTTAAGGTAAGGAAATAACGAGGATTTCCAAACAGTGCCACCAGGGCCGTACTCTGATGTCGTGACAACTCAAAAAACAAAACAAAATGAAAGAAAAAACTATTACCTACACCTATAACAAACATCAGCTACTGAGCTGTTGTTATTTCTAAATGTGTGCGGCTCGAGTCCGTGCTGTGTACGATATTATATTATTCTTTCATATGATAACTCTCCTCCCTGTAGATCCTAGTTATTTTAAGTTTGTAAACAGTCATGTGCAGTAATATAAATTTCAAAAACCTAAACAAATGTACAAAAATGTATCAATATAGAAGAACAAAATTAACAAATCTAATAAAAAAAAGTACCTTGAGGAAAATTCCACACTTGGTTTTTCAGTGCGTGTGTATATATCGTTGTATGTGTGTGTCCGTGTTTGTACGATGTCACTGTTTTGTGTCTTGATATGTCTCACGGCTGTTTTTGTGCTTAACTCTGTCCACTACTCTGTCTTTGGATGGTATCTGTGAGTGCTAAAGTGAAATATGTGTGTATCTGTGTGTGTTTGAGATCAGGTGTGCTGAGGCAGCTCTGTGAGGAACCAATAGAAAGCCGAGACAGGTGGCGGGACAGTGAGATCTGGGTTCAGCTGAAGGCCTCATCGTCCGTATCCTCAATGAGCACCTTAGTATCCTTCTTAGACCTGTCAGAGATACAGATGTATACATTTCAAGCAGCTCTCAAAAGTGCCACTTACTGATCTCAAACGTTAAAAAAAATTTAAGAAATGAATGCACTTGTTTTTAGCAAGGATGCATTAAATTGATCAAAAGTGATAGTCAATATTTTTTACATGTTACAATTCTATATTTCAAATAAATGCTGTTCTTTTGAACATTCTATTCATCAAAGAATTCTGACTAAATGGTTTGCATAAAACGGTTTTTCATCATTGATAATAAGAAATGTTTCTTGAGCAGCAAATCTCAACATGATTTCTGAAGGATCATGTGACACTGAAGCCTGGAGTAATGATAAATTATAAATAAATTACATTTTACAATATATTAAAATAGACAAGTTATTTTAAATTGTAAGAATATTTCACAATGTTACTGCTTTTGGCACTATTTTCTATCAAATAAATGCAGAACAAACTTCTGCAAACAGAAAAAAATCTTACCAACCCAAACTTTTATATATATCTGTTAAATACACTGTTCAAAGTGTTGACCTGCACTTTAAATCAAACTACATTTTAATTAGCAACTAATATTATTACCTAATCTAACCCTTAAATTTAGTTTTGTTAGTGCAACCTAATGCATTTAAATAGGTTCGGTGATGTTAACATATTAGTATATTTAATAAAATAATATTTTTGATAATTATTTTTTAGATCAACTTTTTTTTAGTGAATTGCATATGTTTGCAATGACTTATTAAAGTTATTTCATTAAGTGTTATCAGTAATTTAAATACAGACTAATTGCATAAAGGTGCACTAATCGGGGCTGCCTACCCAAAAACTGCTGAAATATGTCTATTATATCCATAATCTCTTACTGAGAGGACAGCAGGGGTCGTCGTAAGGACAGGCTGTAGCTCCGTTTCCAGCTCTTTTTGCCCTGTCTGTTCCGGACTCCATCCTCCTGGTCCATCATCTGCTCCAGCAGCGTCTGGTCGTCAGCGTTAAGAGGAGCCACCGAGATGTCTCGCACCGCTCGAAACTCACCGCAGTTATTCAGGTGCTCATTCTCAAGACGGAAGAAGTTCCACACAAAACGTCTACGGGGAGAACAAATGCAAAGAAAGAGAAAAGATTTAGAAAGGGAGAAGATTGAGAGAGAGAGAGAGAGAGAGAGAGAGAGAGAGAGAGAGAGAGAGAGAGAGAGAGAGAGAGAGAGAGAGAGAGAGAGAGAGAGAGAGAGAGAGAGAGAGAGAGAGAGAGAGAGAGTTCAGCATGTGTTTAATGCTCGAATGTTAGAAACCTTTTTTTTTAAACACAGTTTACATTGTTGCAGCACTCCTCTTCCCAGTCTGTCAGTAAAACTCTGTTTAGTTCCAGTCTCAACCCTTCCTGATTGGTTGGCTGGATCAGTCTGACTACTTAAGGGATTACTCTTATTTTTTTCTGTAATTTAATTACAGTTATGTAACTGAATTAAATACTGTATAGAGTAGACCATAACAATTCTATATAAAACAATGGTGGATTTAACATCAAAATTTAGCAAGTAGTAACATTAAGTAATAAAAATTATTTTTAGAGAGAGTAAATAGTACAATAATCTAATTACACTGTTGAAGATGTAATTAGTAGCTAGTAATTAATGACATTTTTTAGAGTAACTCAACCAACACTAGTGATTGGTGAACCGCTTTGAGCATGTCATGTGACCATCAACTGACATCAGAGAACCATGAACATGCAAATGTGCAGTGAAAATCTCAGGGGGTACTTCAAGTAACTATTTTAGCTCAAAGGGATTTGGCTGATGAAAAGAATAGGGAATCCCTGTTCTACACAAACATCTCACCTAAACACTTCCAGAGGAGCTAAAATTGTAACCACGATGTCCTCGATGGAAGGAATGACAGTCATGGAAGTCAGAGAGATCTGCAGTGTCCAGGCGAAGCGCAGGATTACATCTTCTATTATAGCAGAGTAGTAGTAGGCCTAAAAGGAAAAGGAAGTGGCATCATGACAGTTGGAGGTAACATATAAATATCCCTGCTGACAGTTATAATAATATCCCTGCTGAAAAAAACATCTTAAACCAACCTAAGCTGGTTTGCTGCACTTGTCAGCAGGGGAGAACAGCTGGCTGAACAACTAAACCAGCTTAAAGGGATAGTTCATCCAAAAATGTTTATGTCTGAATAAAAGCCTAAATTAAAACTGTTCATCATATAATGCGATTGTGTCTCTTCAGAAGACTTGGATTAAACAGTTTGATTTATATTGATTTATTTTACGATCTCTTCATCGACATTTTTGAACCGAGTTTTGGGTGAATTAATGGAGGGGAGAGAAATCTCTCAGATTTCATTAAAAATATCTTCTAATTGTGTTCAGAAGATGAATGAAATTCGTATGGGTTTGGAACGACATGATGGTAAGTAATTGATGACAGATTTTACATTTTTGGGTGAACTATTCCATTAAGAGCAGCAAACCAGCTAGTTAGTTTGATTATTTTGCTTTGCTCCTTAGAAGGTTTGAACCAACAACACTGTGCTCACCAGAGCAGATCTTTGACCACTACATCACATCACCGATGATGGACATAATACTGTTTTCAAGATGGCAGGTTATGTTCTGGCATATCTTACTTTATGTGGGTAAACAATCTCCTCTCTCAAGAAGGTATTCTCGCCAGCGTTGCGGTCGAAAAGACCCCAGTCCATCTTTAGGTCCCAGATCAGCGTGTAAAGTGAACTGACGACTGAAGACAGGACCAGCATGTAGAAAAACACCTCAGCGTCTGCATGTTTCTGATCTGAAACAGAGAAAGTCACAAGTGAATTTGACACTATGTCCACTAGAGGGAGACTGTTTACCATCCATCTATCTACACTTTAAAAAAAAACTGTTTTGAGACTGTTTACATTACTAATGCGATTGTGCCTGTGGCTATTAATCTATTGAAAGGTCATTCACTGTTAAATTACCATGTCAAATACTAGTGTTTTAATATTAATTAAAACAATGACATGATGACCAAAATGCACCTTAGTAGGTTAAGATTACATGAACAATAATAATGAAATAATAATAATGTAAATTTAAATCTAGCCTGCACTTTTTTTACTCCCCTTCTGTTTTTACTGATAAAAACCAATACATACATGTGTCCTACTACCATTACCTTACATTACATTACCTACTACACTCTACACCTACTACATCTTACAGGCCTACAACTTTTGAAAGGTAGTATATATTTAGCTATTTTTACATTGCTGTTCCAAGAAAATAATATTACATTGGATATAGTTCGACATCTTATCATTTATAACAAGTATATGAAGAAATCTACTTGTAATTTAATCAGCAACTTTTTTTTTTTGCGGCTTAAGACCAAAAGTACAATCCTTATACATAAATAACCTTGAAGCAACTGCGTTTAATATAATCTGTTGAAAGGCAGAGGATAGAAGCTGTATGGGAAAAGGAATTAGCAACTAATATTGATGATGAGGCACGGGAGAGCATATGGAATCATGCCAAAAGATATTATTTTGCACAGGGGCAATACAAATCCAAAAAAAAAAAAAAAGAGTAGGCAGAACTGAAATATAACAATAAGAGCTATCTTGCAGTACAATATTAGAGCATCAGTGTAAGTTATTAGGGGGTGAGACATTTATCAGATGGTGGAACAAGGCAGGTCTCAGGTCAGTGAATGGTTAAATCTCTTAGGCCTCAGACAGCAGACGGTGCTGAATCTGGAACAGGCCCATCCGTCTTAATAAAGCCTTTCACACGCTGCCATCCAGGCGCCAGGAAACCAGCGGAGGACATTTTTCGCCGGAACAGATAATAGCCCAGTCCATCCTATTTCAGAGCTGAGCTATGAGTGCCCATGCTGAATATGGTGTCCCTAGATTACCCAAGATGCTCCAGATGCTCGCCCTAACAAGACACTTTAAGAGTGCAATGCAAGTCTAATCCCTTCACACAGGCCAGCGGCATTCTATAGAGGCATCAACATTTGAGCTGATATTAGAGTCACCATAAAATCTACATTGATGATTCTTGGAATATTGCAGTATTTATTATAAATTATGTATCCGTGCATATCATTACTTTTTTTTTGATAAATTCATGTGCCCTCATAATCTTTAATCAGAATAACTTCCCCTCCCTCTTGCAGTGACATCTCTTCTCTTCTCTGATGACAGTGACTGTGTTTGCTAGTGCGAGGGCGGGACAACCTGTCACTCACATGAGATTGACCAATAGCAAACCACAACCATCCAATCAATTCCAGACAGACAAAATCAAGTCACACTACATTTTTTTTTCTAGTTTGAGAAGTCGTTTCACTCGGATATACAATAGTCAAGAAAAAACTTTCGCAACTTCCGTTTCATGCCAACTTTTAAGTATTGTGTTTTACATAATACACTGCAATATATTTCTACATTTAATGCACATAATTATTATTATTTTACCTTGAGAATACCTTATGCTCAACCTTACCCAACAGCAAAGCTCCATCCAAAGATCATCTATGAAAACTAAGCTGTGAAGATGGATAATTCATGAATCTTCATAGCTCTGAGAATATTAATATTTGACAGACTAGATCTACATTTCAATGCATATTGAGTATTAAGCAAGAGTGTACACTATGCATGTAAAGTTGAAGTTAGCTAATTAAAACAGCAGTTATTTCTTAACGGTACATGAGCACAAAAAGCCTGTGCAATTCAGAGGTCAGAGAGAAAATGGTCATAAAACAAAACAAAACAAAAAACAATTTAGGGTGCAAGAAACATTGACACTAAAATAAAATAAAATATAAAATAAAATCAATAATGCTACAAACGTGAACATGGTTCCTATAAAACGTTATCCTATATCTGAAACAATACTTTGATATTCAAAATATTTGGCCCATTATATTTTGCCCTAGTATAGTGTCTCTTTGAGGATAAGATAAATGGATATATATTAGATACAAAAGGTCTGACAATATGAGATTAACGGTATTGGCCAACAACCGTGCCAGTTTGGCCAATGAACAGAAGTGGTTGTTCCCCATTGTATCAATTACAAAATCCTCTTCAACTGATAATACATATTTCTGTTTTTTAAAGTAGTAGTAATCTTTGAATATCAAAATGGTCTCATCTCATTTGTCATTAAATTGAACTATGTAAAATACAGGCCATCTGCTACCCTGCTCATTAGATTTCAGCATCGGCCATTAAAAAACCCATGACGGTCAACCACTACTGGTCACACTGAACTTTCGGTTTAACCTCATTAACACATCAGAAGATTTATGTAAACATGAACTGTGATGACCCAAACCCATTTCCCAAAGGACCAAATCCCTCTCAGTATCCTCCTGAGTCCTCAGACAGAAATAGTTTTCATCCTTTGAACATTGACAGCGTTTTTGTGTCTTTGGTAATAGAGTAGAGAATGTGAAATAGAATGTGTCACTCTCTGCACCTGACCACATGATGGGAACATGACAACGAAAAAAAAAAAAAAAGAAAGAAAAAAAAAAGAATCGAAAATAACATCACTGAGTTTAGGTTCAGGTATGTAAAGATATTCAATATTGACCACATTAACTGATTAATCTGTACTAAACGGTAATATTTATGCACATGAGCTGTGATATTTGACTACATACAGCCATCTCTTTTGTGGTCCACATGAAACGGATTAAACCTGTGCAATGAAGCCATCAGAGCAGGTAAGCGCAGGTGTTCATGTACACATCTCTAGCTCTCTAAGATGCTTGTTTTGATCAAAGATCCAGGTCTGATACAGAGAGAGAGAGAGAAAAAAAAAATCAAATATTTTTTTTTGCGGTTCAGAGCTTCATCATTATTCTAGCGATACACTCACACTGTTCTGTCTCGCCACAGGCAGGCAATTACAGCTCAACCTCCTCTGGATAGTCCATTTTCCTTCATTTCCTCTTATTTTTTGCTCTCTTTCTCTCTCCTCTCATATTTCTCTCTCCCCTCATATTTCTCTCTCCCCTTTAATCGTTTTTCAGTGTTCACATAGCATCTTTCCTTTAATCTCTGTTTGGATTTTGCTCTGTCTTGTTGGATGTCATTGAGCTCTTCAGCATATAGCTTAAGCTCAGATTGCCATTTTTTTTTATTAAAGTTTCAATTAAATCTTTGAGGATATCGACCCTCTACCATTTCTACAATCAGTACTACAATGAAATACAACACTAAAAATGTGTAATGGGGCTATTGATATGGGAACGGATAAAACAAATACACTTACAAATGCATAAATTGCCATTTCAATGCTAGTGTGCAAGGCGAGTAACACATCAAACTCAGACATCAAGACTTACAAATCACTCCTTATTGGGATTGAACCAACAACCTTTGGGTTGCAAATCTAAATTTTAACAATTATAAGCCAAACCATAAGGAAATAGGCTGAAAAAATAATGCTCTGACAGCTTATCCTTACCACTGATCTCAATCTCACACACCTGTTTGGCTCATGACTAATGTTAATTTAAACATTAATTATGCTCAGGCATGTTACATTCCTTTGGGATTAGTTTACACGAAAACTAAAATAAATAGAATCCATAGACTCATTTATCAGGGCAGCTTACAGGAGTGAACATCAGTTTCATTTAGGGCACAAATGATGGAGGTGATTTCTGATGCATTCATATATTAAACTGGCTCACTGCCAGGAACGTCTCGAGGGAATCCTAATGAGTGCATTGAATGCATGGTGAGATTGTTGGGTTGAATGGGGCCTCTTTCACTCCTATATCACTGATACAGAGATATCTCTAATACACACTGATGTCTGGACAGGCTGTCCACCAACATTTGGATACTTCGGAGCAGAATTCTGTTCAACGAAAACATAAATGCAGTGGCGTAAAATGCACCCATGCTTGATATTTAAACACTGACATTCAAGGGAACTACCCAGAAACGACTGTGTGTGCATATAAATAATGAAATGGATGAAAACGGCTTAGCTGAGTGCTTTGAGATCGATTTTTGACAAAAGTTGTCTTTTCAAAGAGATACGGGAAGGCATGGAGGCTGACTGTTTGATAAGAGAAAGTGAGACGGGCAGAGAGACATGTTTGAGCAGCAGTCTTCGCACTTCAGATGGATTTCAGTGGCAGAATAATCAGACGGTAATTGTAGATAGAGACGAGGGATATGTCTGGAATCTTAATGCATGCTTTTAAACTCTTTAAGACTTCATATAAACCGAATGCAGGATAATTGCTGTGATTGAATGCAAAATGTGGTGTTTGGCGACAAATTAGTTTTTATAAAGCAGGGTGGCTCTTTTTTAAATGCATAAATGAAATGCCAACCTGTTTCTTCTTGGTACAATTCGTCTCTAACATAACATTTAGATGTTTTCTCTTTATGTTGCTATATAAACCAGTCTCTAACAGACAAGGACAGGATAATTTTTTCTTTCTCTGTTTTTCTCAAAACATGCTTTTGTTGCCTGTTCACCTGTATCTGTTGTAAGCAAACAATGGCAGCCAGGTGCTCTCTTTGTACCGAACATTTTACACTGGAGTCATTGTTAGATTACACCGGCAATTTTCACAGAACAGTAAAAATACAATGTATTCAGGATATAAAAAGCAAAACAAAACAAAACACTGTTTCTTGTATAGCCAAATAATTTTTTTTTACCCAGATTCCCTCGAGACAAAACTATTTTCAAGTGACATTCATCACCAGTCTGAGCACAAACCTTCAGCGAGTTTTGTTTTTCAAGCTAATTATAATAATTATAATATGCTTTGATAAGTGAATGTTCTGGTCACATAATCACGTCATGTTTGCAGTTAACTGCCGATTGTTTGTTTTTACCTTTGTGAGTTCTGTAGAGGGCTGCAAATGTGACCACAAAGAAGGTGGTGGAGTATTTCCCAGCATTCACCAGGTGAGGGAAGGCCCTTCTGGTGTCACGGTAACGTCGCAGACACTGAACAAACCGCAGCCAGGCGGGCAGACAGTGGATGATGGCCCGAATTCCGTAAGAGTAGCTGTTACACCTTTCATCACCTTATTGCGGAGGAGAAACTTATGAAAGCATGTTGATATTATCAAGAATATTCTCTCAATATTGCAGTAGAGTAGTATACTGGATTATTTTTATATGTATTTCTACAAATTAAATGATGATTTTATAATATAGTTCAGGGCCCAACAGTTAGGATTTTGTCTTGCAAAATAAACTGAAATACAGTACATTTTACATATATACACACCATTATTAAATAAGAAAATGATAAATTGTGCTAATTAACTCTTACTAAAAAAGAAAAAAGTTTATAAAACTTTACTAAAAAATTAATTCATATTTTAATTAAAAAAAAATTGTTATCATATTTGCAACTAAATTACTAAACCTAGAACAAAAACTAAACCTATTTATCATATTTGCAACTAAAAATCTGAACTACTCATCTGACCAGGCCAGCAGAAAAAAAGCCATAGTGTTGAGCCCTGTTGCTCACTTTCACTTTCTCAGTATCTTCCAGGACTGAGCTGGTGTTACACATTTCTGCACCATTAGACAGCCGCTGATGTTCTGAATTTCCTGGTCCATTTCACATAAACTCCACTGAACCTGAAGAATTCCTGTCTGTGCTGACACGGCCTGTGCAATCTTAATTCATATGCAAGGGCAACTAATCGTAACCGCCCATTCATCTACTGTTACATACAATATAAGGTTGAAATTGGGATGGTCAATTCTGTCTGTCAAAACTTGAATCAGTACATTATAAGATGGCTTCATTCTGAATCAATTACCATATGCGGAGGGAAGTAATCCGCTACGATCTCCCCACTGCAGCTCCATGCTGTAATAACAGACCAGATACTCCAGATCTGTGAGCACAATGACCAGGGAATTGAGTTGATCCGCCAGCCAGAAGTCTGCAAACTCCACTCGGTGGAACGGGGCGGTGAACACACGGAACTGAGAAAATACAAACACAGGAAATATAAAGCATAAATATTCATACTGTATACAGTACATATAATAATCATTGTGGACAATAATAAACAGCAGAAGTCATCTGAGGTGCTTTTTCTCTCAGGATGAGGTGCTTTATGTAAAACAGCTCATCCCCGAGGCAGAGTGAACTCTATGAGACAGCTTAATGTTAACTCAGCTGGCTGAAAGCAAATCAATGGGGGTTTTATTGTCTGATGATCTGCAATATCAACTCATTGACCTCACCAATAAAACACATTTAACTGTCTGTTATATGTGAGGATTGAGTTAGATGTGTTGCACCATTAATCCAGCAAACTGTGCCTCATTTAGAAACGCATGACTACACATTTAGAAATCATATCCAGCTGCCTGAGATTGAGAGACGCACATGAAAAAAGTAATAACCATTTTTTAATGGCAAAATAGGTTTTATGCCATGTTGAAGTATAAAACTATATGAATCATTTGGATAAGGACCATGAATTATTAAAGTAAATATTTTTCCCAAGTGTGTCAAATGCTACAGGGTAAACTGTACCAGTATCTTTGCCTTCAAATGCAGAACATATTATTAATAATATGAATATTTCAAATACTAAAAAGTTGCATAGTTACAAAAGTACATATGTAATATATATATACATACAAATATATATAAAAGAGTAATTTAAGTTTGATGAAAAAGATGATCCTTTTTATGCATGCACAAAGAACTTTCAACAATTAAAATATGAACTAAATACTACAACACAAGAGCTGTAAATAAAATGACACAATTAGACAATAAATAAATAATGTTTTTTAATGTTATTCTGTGGCACACTCTATGCCATGAAATGAAATGTTACCTCTCTCAGCCTTCGGGGCAGTGCTGACATTTCCCAGCAACACACTTTTGCACTACACCGTTCTATGCCATCATTCTCTTGAGGCTCAAATGCCAGGGAAAATCGATTTCTCCCCACACAAACTCTGATCAGTTATTTTTACCAAATGAAACAGGTGAAGGCAGCTTTTAAGCATACAGGTCTGGATGTGAAGTACATTTCAAGGTTGTACAGCTGCATGTGCAACGCACAGCTTGAGTGTGACAGCGAGTTCGAGCTCTGGGAAGAAAGCCACCCACTGTTTGGCCATCAGTATGTGTCGGTTTTAATCTACAGGAAGTGTGTGTGTGGGTGTGTGTGTCTGTGTGTGCTCTAAGGAATAAGGCTCCAGTCTAGGTCAATTAGATGTAGGGAGGGCAGTGAGACAGAGGCAGGCGGCCGCTGATGGCTCCATCTCAATAATGATTGCACAGGCACAGTCTTCACATCCGCAGAGATAGAGCAGCAATCTATTTTCCCTCACCTCACACAGAGACACGCATAATCGCACTCGTGTACACACACACACACACAGACCTCACTGAAACACTCCCAACACACAGGTTGGGGCACATAGTGCTATAAAACAACACAGGATATGAAGATTTTAAATGCTGTTTGTAACCCACTTTACTTGAAATCTGACACATTTCTAAGTTAAACAGGATATTTGGGGTGGAACTTTTTAAAATTCATCTGGAACTGATTGGATCACGAAAACTAGGCATCTGAATGGAGCCTGCCCACATTATGATGACGAAAAAGGGGTTGTTGCTATTAGAACTCTAGATTTGTAATATGTAAAGGTTTCACAGCATGTGCTGAAAAGTTTTGTCTCTCACCAGAAGTTTGATGAGCCAGAAACGGGATTTGTAGTAGGCGGTTTTGAAGGGGTTGATGAGGAAGAGGAGCATAAAGCCATAGAGGATGAGGGGGTTCGCCTGCATAGGGAGCCAAGTGTAGTCCGCAAACAGACAGGAAAGGATGCTGAGACACCACAACACCCCCAAAAACCCTGCGATCTACAGCAAGAGAAAAGAGGAAAAGATTAAACTGAACATCGAGATTTTCAAAACCTGGAAGATTTTTTTCTTCCTTCCTGTTATTTTATCCATCAAATAAATGCTGTTCTTTTGTATCACGGTTTCCACAAAATATTAACTAGCATAACTATTTTCAACATTGATAATAATAATAAATGTTTCTTGAGCATCAAATCAGCATATTAGAATGTTTTCTGAAGGATCATGTGACACTGAAGACTGGAGTAATGATGCTGAAAATTCAGCTTTACCATCACAGGAATAAATTACATTTTAAAATATATTCAAATAGAAAAAGAAAAAAAACATTTTAAATTGAAAAATGACTATTTTGATCTTGGCGAGAATAAGGGACTTCTTTCAAAACTATTAAAAAATCGTGCCGACTCCAAACTTTTAAACGGTAGTGTATAACAGAGACTTTCTGTAAAGATTCCTTCTCCATGATGCGTCTCACCTCAAACAGATGCTGATGTGAAAGATTGTTCCGGGGGTTCAGCTCAAAGATCAGCACATGATTGACACCCGCCTGCCTCCAGCCATAAGTGTTAATCCCCAAGAGAAAGAGAAACTGAATCAAAAGGAAACCGCCGCGGTAGATGCGCACCAGTGGCCAGATGTTCTGATTACGAATGAAAAAAGCACCTGAGAGGGAAAGATCAGTCACACAGTTGTATAAATTACTGCACTGTTCTATCATGAATGTATATTAGCAGAAAGGCTGGAATTTATACACTGGATAAGATAAAGATAAACAGGTATAGTTGGTATGTTGGTCTGAGTGTGCAACAAGGCTAAAAACTGTACCAGTAAGGACGAAGGCGACCGCCAGGACCATGAAGATCCCACAATACAGTCCCACACGGAAGGTGGTCCAGGCAGGTGCAGGCTGAGGTTGAGGAAAAAACAGACTTGATCAATGCAATAACCTTCAGGAACACAAGTAATGCATCCCAGTGCAGCTTTTCTATTATGCATTATTATTTAACTTTGCATTAGCAATTGCACAATGGCAAATATTAAAATAATGGTATATTTTAAGCCATGGCAACTTAACATTTCAAGTTGAGTGCATTTAAAAAAAATAATTAAGTAGATGACTTCAACTCAAAAAACCTAGATGCTTTCAGTTTTACAAGCGCATACATTTTTACACTTACGTCATGCAAAGTACAGGGGGACAAATAAATGATCCCAATTAAATGTAAAGCAGTACTCTATTCCTGCAATATTTTCTACATGATGTTCCAGGCAAAGGTGTATCTCTCCACCCACATTGCCTTTTGCATTATATAGTTCCTGAGGATTTACACAACTGTTACTGACCTAGAACTAAAAGTACTGCATGAAAAGAGACAGCAGATAATTTTTTCACATATTTTTCTTGGCTATCATGCTATTTTTTGATGCTATCATGCTAAGTATGTTTGTTGTTTCCTACTGGTTTTGCTTGAGTGTTTTGTATTTATCACTAAAATATTCTACACAGACTTCATTGAAAGTCACTTTGGCATATAAAATATCTTCGATTCAGACAATATTAAACGTTAATCAAATATTTAATACAGAACACTTAACCTTCATGTTCTTTTGGCCAGACTTTACAGTCCCAGAGACTTCAGTAATGTATGTGTAAAAAATAATAATAACAGTCAATAACCTCTTATTTTTAATTAAAATTATATTATTCATTATATAAAGCGATCAAGTCTCTTCAGAAAATTTGGACTAAACCGCTCAATTCATATGGATTAGTTTTACAATCTCTTTATGAACTTATTGAAGCGTCAAAGTTGTAGTTGCGTAGCTGTCAATGGAGGGACAAAAAACTCTCAGATTTCAACAAAAAGATCTTCATTTGTGTTCCGAAGATGAACGAAAGTCTTACGGGTTTGGAATGACATGAGGGTGAGTAAATGGTGACAGAATTTTCATTTTTGGGCGAATTAACCCTTTAAAGGCATTGAAGATGAACAAATAGCATCCAGTCGATGGTCTGAGGTGGGCAATCACTAGGTTACACAATTTCTGTGTTTGCATATGCGAGTTTCTTTTGTCACCTGTGCTGCTCCAAGAGGTGGAACCCTCAGCCTCTTCATGGCCTTCTGACGGTCACCGCCTTCCAGCTCTGTGGTCACCAGAGCCTAGGCACACAAGGGTCAAAGGTCAGACAGCACACTTTAGTTTGAGCATTTCTGACTTTAAGCTTCATTCTAATGCACTCTAGGGGTTTAAGCATCACTTACAGCAGCTACGGGAGTGTACAGTAACACCATCACAATCTGATTATCTTACGAGCAGGAAGTCAAAAGTCTAAACGTGGAGACAGGCAGTCTACCTCGGTCTCAGAGATGAGCTGTGTGATCTTCTTACAGGTGTAGAATGGAGCCACCTCCACGTGAGCCACACGCCAATCGGCTCCACGCTGTGTATCCAGAATCTTATCATGTTTCTTCAGAATCTTACGGAATCCAGTGAAATTCAGATTCTGTATGAGGTTTGGGTAAATCAGAATATGAAATTAAGTTACACATCTAACAACACAGAGAAAAGAGCAATCCTCTTTTTGTATATGTTGAGACATGTCTACTCATTTATTTATTATTGCTATTTTCCACAATTTAGGATAATGTAATAAAATAATTTGATATTTTAGAGAAAAGTCATGAAAACAAATGAATATTCCAGCTCTTCGCTCTGGACATCTGGTGCATCCTGGGATATTTTGTATGTAGTAACTGTATTAAAGCAGTTCACATGTATGCTGGATACCTGTTGGCTACTTTCCCTTCACTATCCATTTAAAATTCACTTTGTAAAGAAATTCACATGTAAGCACAACCAATATTTGGGTATGAAATTTATTTAAAGAATTTAATCGTAAACCTTCAGATCAGGGTTTCCCAACCCTGGGAACTGATTCATGAGTTAATGAAAATAATTTTTATTTAAAATAAAATAATTTTTATGTAAATAAAATATTTTTTAAATATAAACAAATCAAAACAAAACACTAAAAAAAGATGAAATATTTTATTGGTTTACCTGCATGTCACGTAAACAAACATCAGAGAACCGTAAACATGTGAATGTGTAATTAAATTGGCCAAAGAGGTTTCAAACCTCCATTTTTTGACTGACAAAAAATTCGGAAATCCCTGCGTTAAAATCATGAAAAACACAAATTAAGTCTTCGTTTCCAAACTGATGGAAGGCTAAAGAAATATGTGCAAAAAATAATATGGAACTACGTATAACATTTGTAAAGTGCACAGGAATGAAGATAAAATTAATGAAAACCCCAGCTGAAAAGAGCAGCATATGTTGAGCTGTGAGTGCACGAGCAGTGGTCTCATCAACAGAAAAAAAAAAAAAAGAAAAAAGTGTCACCAGAACCAGTCGGGGAAAAGGTCAACGTTCAGAAGAGGAGACGAACAACAACCAAAACATGCCAAATGTCAGACCTGGTAGTTCTGCAGGAGAATGAGGCTGAGGTAGAACTCGCTGAAGGCCAGCTGCAGGTCTTTGATGTTGCGATGTTTGTTGCGCTCCTTGTTGGACAAAGGCAACACCATTTTGCGGCGACTGCGCAGCCCTGGAGCGTTGCTCTCTCGCTGGGCATCCAGAGACGTCTGCAGCTCATTCTGCAAAGTTGCGAATCGCCGCTGCGCCTCAGCCAGTTTCTCTGTGAAGATCCAAAAAGAGAAGGAAATATTAATAATTACGCCTTATTGATGATTATTATTTTATTCGATGTATGGTCTTTGAGAGCAAACAAAAAAACCTGGGTGTACACCAGGACATAAAAAGACGATCTTAAAATGTATTAAGAACTTTTCAACTATGTCTATTGAGAGACATAAAGCCTGCTTGGCTTACAACCCTGCAATGAGATGCACCAGAATCCATTTTGCATGATAAATAAATCCCTCATTGTACCCATCAACTGGAAAGTAAAGCAGACAGATTTCCTGTCGGAGATGAGCTTCTTCCTGTAAGGGTGATATCTCAGACAGCATTATCCGCGCTGGCCTGTGTCCCAGCACAGTTTGGTGAACAGGAGCCTGCTCGACCCATCTCACTTTCAGAGGAAGGAAATGGGTATTAGGTTCAACAAGTAAATACTGGGAGCGTATGGGCTATAACCCTCAGCGAGAGACGGCAGAGTCCAGGCTGAAAAGGAGAATGAGAGCTGCCACACTTTGTATCTACAAAGCTAATTTGTCCACTTTCTCAGGGATTTCTTCTAGAACTGCCAACTGGTCCCAAAACTAAAAAATTATAAATTAAAAAGTTATCATTTTAAAAGCATTTGTAAAAAAATTGTTTTATTGTTGATATAATTTTATATTATTTATAGTATTTTTATGTGTATATTATTCAAAAAACATTATTTATTTATTTATGTTTACACAAAAATGTAACATTTTTTTCCTTAAATGTTCTGGTTTTCTTTACAAGAACAGCTGAAAATTTGGGTAACACTTTACAATAAGGTTTTATTTGTTAACATTAACAACATTTGTTAACATGAATGAAAAATATTTCTACAGCATTTATTAATCTCAGGTAATGTTAATTTCAACATTTACATGATTAAAATCAAAAGCTGTATCTGTTAGCATTAGTTAATGAACCTGAACTAACATGAACTAACTAACAATGAATTAGTATTTTTATTAATTAAATGTTAACAAAGATGAATAAGTACTGTAACAAATGTATTCCTTATTGCTAGTTAGTATTAGTTAATGCATTAACTAACCTTTAATGGAACATTATTGTAAAGGGCTACCAAAATTTTCAGAAACACTAGCTGAAAAATATGGCAAAACATTTCAACCAATTTTTACTGATGCAACCAAGGCAATCACAGGTCAAAACCTGATTTATGTTCGCCAGCTTAAAAGCTGACAAGTGGACAAATAGAATTTGCAAACAAATGCCACAGAATTTTTTTTCAAAGCCTTAAAAATGCATGACTATAATAATATTAATAATAAAAAAGTAAGATATAGCACTAGCTGATATACGGGAATGTCCAGAATAAACATTGGCTGTGAATAGAAGACGTGTCCTAGGATCAAATGAACGGCACAACCTCGTTTTCTTTCATGCCAATTTAAATAGTTGTCTATAATAGTCTGTGCTTCTGCAGGCTGAACGTGGCTAAGATTGTGCTAAGAATTTATGTGCTTAGCAGATCTCGTCCACTGGGACAAAGACTGTATGTACTGAAGGTTTAGAAGCTATGTTGTTAATTCAGGACGACTCAGGGGGGAGGCAGGGGTCTCGGCCATAACACAGTCCGGGTCAACTAGACAGAATTAGTTATAGTGCAGTAACAGCGGCTGCCATCCTAATATGAATTTCAGTTTCTAATTCATCAAATTTGAGAATGCCTTGCATATCACTACATAAACCTTGAAAACAGGTCTGTGTATGCATGGACAACATTATCTGCAGAATGACATCGTATATTGGCTAAATTAGCATTTATGTTTTATTTTGTACTACTTTCTAGTGAAGGAAACTTTATCTTATTTTGTCCTTTTGGAATAACACATGGATGTTTTTCCACAAGGGCAAAATAAGATAAAGTATAGGGTCTTTTCCAGCTTAGGCCGGGCAACTTGATTAGAGTTTATTTTGGTCCGACCGTCAAACCTGCGGCACCGAGGGAGTGAATGATTTTCAGTGGCAACTGGAGGATAAAAAAACTAAACCAAGATTATAAGCAGAATGAATGCTTTCCTTTCATGTTAAATTATTAATGTGCATCTGCGTCTTTGTTTCAGAATAAATGCTGATCCCTCTGTCACGTCTCATTTTGAGATTTTAATTTTGAGCAGAATTACCTATTTTTATATTCTCATTTAGGATGCGTGCTAACAATGCATCAACATGCAAACAAAGCATTAATCTCATGCTTTCAATTTATGTCGGTTCTATCCAATAACCAGCCACTAGAGGCAGTAGAGATCAGACATTCTTTTTTGCCCTGAAGTCAATGCAACAACACAGCTTATGTTGCAGTGTGCATTTATTATCAGTCCAAACATAGTCTATTCCCCTTGACGCAAGTTACACCGACTATGGCAGGCATTGCATATTACATCATGTTCCCAAATTGTGCTGTACACCCTGACCTCATGCACAGGGAATCCCTTGACAGCATTTAACAGGCCGCTGCAGTTTAACCACACACAGTAAAGTTTGTTTCCACTTGTGCCATTTATGGGTTACAGAGAGAATGCAATAATAGCAGCCAAACAGTTAGTATTATTAAAAGTTAACTATTAACGATGGTTAATGCTGAAAAAAGCTCTCTTGTAATCCTCAAAAAAGTTATACGACTGATTGATGGATACATGTACTTTTTGTGGAGAGATTGTTAATTAATGTATGCACTACCATTAAGAGAAATTAATCATTTCAAGGAAATTAATATTTTTATTCAGCAAGGATGCATTAAATTGATCAAAAGTGACAGTAAAGATTTTTATATTATTACAAAAAAAAAATCTGTTACAATGAACGGTGTTCTTTTGAACTTCATATTCATCAAATAATCCTGAATTTTTTTTATCAAGGTTTCCACAAAAATATTAAGCAGCACAGCTTCTTTCAACATTGATAATAATAAAGAATGTTTCTTGAGAACCAAATCAGCATTTTAGAATGATTTCTGAAGGATCATGTGTCTGAAGTAATAATGCTGAAAATTCAGCTTTGCCATCATAAATTACATTTATTAAAATAGACAACAGTTATTTTAATATATAAAATACAGTTTTCATGGCATGCATAGAAAACAATACCTGAATAGAACGTGTTGATCTTGGAAAGCTCCTTTTCGCATGTCTGAAAAAACTTCTCCTCAAACTTGGCATAGTACCTTTTGACGGTGTCTTCATCTGTGACTGAAAGAGAAAAAATACAAAGGCGTAAATCTATGTTCATTTTCATATTCAGCAGTGGGCACTAATCCACTCACACTAGAGATATCCACATTACCATTCACAGCTTCATCTTTATACTGACTCTTCAAGGCCAGAGCGAGTTATAAAACAAGTGCTTTGAGCTTTAAACAACAAGTCTAAATTCCAGATTTCAAATGCAATATAAGCATGTTTGTTAAAATGTACACAATAAAAGTTTATACATGTTCAATGTTTAAATATGTTTTACAGTGCAGCTGTCTGTCTATTTCGGTCTGCTGTCTTTTTAAATTCAAATATGACAATTAAAACAACTGATTGGCTACTGATTCCAAGATATTTTACATCTATATTGTGCATAGTACCTGTCACTTGTCCATTTATGTAACACTTTAAAAATCAGCAAAAGGGTTATATAAATAAAACTTACTATGAAATGTATTCATCCATTTGCTCCATTTGAAGTTATCTGTACTGTTCACACAAGTACGAGGCATCTACTCACTTTGGCTAAACAGAAATCTGTCCCTTTGCAAAATCAAACATTGACAAATAAGAGAGCCCGACACTGTGTGACAGGGGTGCAAAACTCAGTTCCTGGAGGGCCACAGCCCTGCAGAGTTTAGCTTTAACCCTAATTAAATACACCTGACACGGCTTATCAAGTTGTTCAGGCTGGTTTGAAATCTGCAGGTATGTGTGTTGGAACAGGGTTGGAACTAAACTTTGCAGGGCTGTGACCCTCCAGGAATGCACCCCTGCATGATATAGAGCTGATACAGGGCAATTTGTTATGATTGCATCATCCATGACTTCTATAACATGATGCACTTCATATTATGTGTGACACAATACCAGCTTCAGGGCCCAGTTGCATAAACATAGCCATTATGTTAAGACAGTGTCTTAACATCTAGTATGACCCACTAGCAGTTAGTCAAGGGGCAGTCAGTCTTTCTTTTCTGTATCATATTAGACCAATCTACGCTTTTATGTAACTGACATAAAAAAAGTTATAAACAGTCTTTGAAAAAGAAAAAAAATAACTGACTTGTAAATGTCTTAGCGGTTTATTCAACCAACCACAGATTGCATCTATCATTGTTACTGTCCAAAGCTAGGGATAGACTTATTCATAGATCCAGTCAAAGATATATTTTAGTAATTTCTGGTTTAAATTGAGATCCCCTTCCCTTTATAACTCACTTATCCTCTGCTATTCCAAAATCAAGTGTCATATTTATACTGACCAAATAGCATCTTGAAACCGAGAGCATCTTGAAAAACAACATTTTTGTTCTCAGTGACCCAAAATTAAAAAAGTTTGACAACATTTATTTCAGAAGCATTTTGGCTGTAGACCAGTGTTATTAGAGTCTTGAAAATACTGTTTCAGTCTTTCTACTTCAAAATTGCATGTTTTACAAGATTCTTTGTATTTGGGAAATTTACTAGCAATTTCTGAGTGAAACATCTTTCCACACCAATTTTGTTTCCAATGTGCTTTAGAAGATTGACAACAAAGAGAGAGAGAAATGACCCAGGGTGAACTCTGACCCCTTGCGTCTCTCTGTGTGATGTATAGCAAAGACAGAAAGAGTAATTCTCTACAACCTTGGACACCTGTGCTATTCTCCTAACAGACACATTCAGCCCACATATAACTACAACGCAACTTTACCACATTTCCAGTGTTCAGCACCACGTTCCTGGTGCTGCACAATTCATCCATGCATGTTATTCTAAAGAATAAAAGTTTGTGGTAACACTTTATTTTAAGGTGACGTAGTCACACGTTACTACAAGTACTTACTATAGTAATAACAGTAAATTATGCATAATTACAAGTAACTAACCCTAAACCAACCGTAACTCTATATAGTAAGTACATGTAATTAATTACTCAGTACTTATTTGAGGAAGTACAATGTAACTATATCCCTTTAAAATAAAGTATAACCAAGTCTTCCATCAAAATGTAGCAGTCTACAAACATGTAACGACTGAAACTCCTTGTCTTTTCTGCTGATGATACCAAGGCTGTGTGGGCAGGGATAAATAATAAAAACATATAACATCCACAATCCAATCAAATCCCTATGGATAAAATCCATTTTCCACTGAATATTCCGTGCCACAAATGTGTCACATCACAAAAATTACATAAGCCATACAGTTTTATGTAACTTTTAACAATATGGCAAGAAAATGTAAACAAATAGCACAGATTGTTAAAAGTAAAGCATGTATACTCATTATGTTTTTGTTGTCACAGTAACAGAAGAAGCCATGTGTAATGTCTTTCCTTCTTCCTGCTGTTTACCACGACAGCCCTCAGTAGCCTTATGCCTCTGTCATGACCCGGACACAAAGGAGCATGACTTCATTAAGAGATTGACTTCAGAGAGGAGAAAAAGACCACACTGTAACATGTGCTATGTCATGTCTATATTGATTCTTGCCATTTTGTACATATGCAAACTCAATAAAGATGCAAGTGTGTGTGTATCAGTATCAACAACAATCAAACCCACCACCTTGGTGTCACTAGAGCCATGCTCTACCAAGAATTGGGTTGCAAATGGGCGGAAAATGTCCGGTAAATTTTCGGAAACTTTCCATGTGAAATTAAGCTGCATGGGGAATTTTGGAAATATTCCAATTTGGAATCTTGATGGTAATTTAGGGGAATTAAAGGAAAATCATTGGAAATTTGGGTAATTTGTTAAAACTATAATTTACAAACAGAAATATACATTTAGTTTGGTCATTCAGACATGCATATAAACTAATACAAATTAAAAAATATGACATTTTTGACTTTGATTTATTTGTCAGTAGAACTTTAGTCGATTATTTCATTGAACAACAAAAAGCATGAATGTTGAATAAAATAAATGTATCATACATCATTTGGATTGGTGTGCTGTATTGGTGTCCGGAAGTGGGGGGGTGGGGGGGAGTTTACAAAAAAAATCTGGTGAGATTAATTATTTTGATTAAGGCCTCTCTCAGATGAGGGAACGCCGGGGTTAGCTATCAAGAATGGGTAAAGTCAAGTGTTCTCGGATCAAGCATTTACTGTAGAAGACGTAGGCTACTTTTAGCAATGGGCGAGATTGTAGGGCACGAAAATATAGTATCGGCCCCCAGAATGAACAAGGCGGTAGTGGTGTTTCTAAAAGATGAAAACTTTATAAACAGCCTTGTTGAAAAAGGAATTGTTGTTTCTGATACCCTGGTGCAAGTAATGCCTTTGCGCACATAGGGTTACCATTTCAAATGCGCCGCCATTTATTTCCAATGAGCAAATTATAAAAGAACTGAGTCGCTTTGGAAAGTTTGCTGGATCCATTAAAATGGTGCCGCTTGGGTGTAAAAACGCAGCATTAAAACATGTGATGTCTTTTCAAAGACAATTATTCATGTTTTTAAATGCGCAATCTAAGGAATTGGATATCTCGTTTCGCATTCAACAAGGGGACAGTTCCTATATGATTTTTGCAACGACAGATAGTTTGCGTTCTTTTGTATGCGGTGATTTAGGACATAAGAAGTTCACATGCCCGCATAAGAAACAATCAGAAAATGAAAAGAACGAAGGAAATAATGATGAGCAAACAGCGAAAAAAAGAAAGTCAAGACAAAGAAAAACGGCCCATAGTTGTAAAGGAGGTAGGCCTAATGATTCCAGAAAACAAAACAAAAGATAAACGGGGTTAATGATAAGGATTCGGAGGCTACGGTTTCGGCAGGTGAACCCACAGACTGCTTCTCCACCCGAGAAGAGTGCTTTAGATCCAAATTCAAGGTCAGAGGTGAGTGAGTTTATTTCATCTATGCAAACTGGTGATAATGCTGTAGGCCCGATTGTTTTGAAGGATGAAGTTGTTGCTGTTAAGGATAAGGAATGTGTTTATGAGGTTTTGAGTCTTAGCGGGTTACAGAATAATGTGCTTGTGGAGAGTGAAAACAGTGATGAAGAACTGATGGAGGATTGTGACAATTGTTCTGAGTTTTCGGAGATTGATTGCAGTCAGTCTTTGGAGGACGTTTATTCTATCGAAGAATTCAATGAGTTTCTGGATTTAACTAAAGGGAAAAAGGTTGATGTTGCTAAATGTTTCCCCGATGTTAAAAGGTTTACAAACATATAGATAAATAAAAGGGGGAAAAAATATTTCCATATTATACATTAATATATCACAATAAAAATAAAAATAAAATAATAAATAAGTACAGAGAGTAGTTTCAAGGGAAATGAGGGTTCAGCACTTGTCCCTCATGTGATGGCAGGAAGACACACACTGCGCTGCCAGGTGAATACACTCTTCTTTCTCTCCCAAAATATAAGACAGTTTGTTTATGAGGCTCGCTTGTTGAAATTGAGGTAAAATCTGTGCTATTTGTGTGAAATAAGTGTCTCTGATGTTTTTATACTTGCTGCACTCGCTGAGGAAGTGCAGCCTGTCCTCTACGACTCCGTCAGGGCAGTGTGAACACAGTCTGAGCTCTCTGGCTCTCCAGCTCTGCTTGTGTCGGCCCGTCTCCACACACAGACTGTGGTCACTAATGCGATACCTTAATTACTAATATTGGTCAGGTATGATGCCAATTTATAATCAGACTTTATTTTGTGGAAGTATTTCAATTTATTTAATTGTGTGACTTTTATCTGCCAATCGTGTATGTATTCTTCTTTGGTTATTTTCCATATTTCTTTTACTTTGGAGTGTTTGAACTGAATTGTTGAATTAAGTTGATGTTTATCCACTAAATATGGAGAGGAAATCTGCCTAATTCTGGCCGGCAACCCAGACTTGGAGCATTTCTGTGAGTTCCCAGGGCGTTCTTGCAGAACTCAAGGTGGAAAATTTCAACAGGGGTTTTGTCCCAGGATTCGTAATTTAATTTCAATTTGGGGCCCCAGATTTCACAGCCGTATAGAAGGATAGGTTTGATGATGCTGTCAAAGATTTTCA